TCACAATGGAACCTCATAAATATGTCCAATTTTTATGTTTTTATGTATCAGTAAAAAATAAATTTAGATGGCCTCTAGATTACTTATAACACCTAATACAATATAAATGCTATGTCAACAGCTATTATACTATATTTTTAGGGAGAAATAAGGAAAAAGGTATGTATGTGTTCAATATAAATACAAATTTTTTCAAATATTTTCAATCTGCAGTTGACCAAATCCATAAATATGGAAGGCCAATAGTATTTGTATTAGTTTTAAATTTTCCATAAGAGAAAATTAAGAGAAAGAAAGCAGAATCATATTCTGAATTGAGGTAATCAATAAACTATTGTTCTGTAAGGCTGCTCAGTTAATTCAGTTAAGGGAGGTATTTGAAAACAAGGTGCCATTATTCGTCTCAAGATACTATCAAGACATGGTGGCACATGCCTGTAATCCCAGCGACTCCAGAGGTGAGGCAGAAGGATCTTGAGTTCAAAGCCAGCCTCAGCAATTTAGTAAGGCCTTAAGCAACTTTGTGAGATCCCATCTCAAAATAAAAAATGGGTTAGGGATGCGGCTCAATGGTTAAGCACCTGTGGGTTCAATCCCTGGTACCAAAAAGCAAGAAGAAAAATGATACTATCAAGATAATCTCATGAATGTTTATTATGAGATGTGTTTGAAGTCCCGAGTCAAACTTTTGCATATCTTGAATATGGTACTTTTTGACATACATACTTCCTCCCAAAGTGTATATCCACAAACACACAAATAAAACTATAGGCAAAACTGATCTTAATGGGTAGTGAAGTTCAAACACCTTTTAGGCAATGTACACACACTTTAGATGTCACTGGTCTGCAGACTCCAGGCAGAGTTAGTCCTGGAGGAGAGGAACCTCCAAGAGATTCACAGATGTCCTTCCAGTCTTGTGAAGGCTGAAAATCTCCACCTCTGAGTCCAGCGTGTTCGTTGGCAAACTGATGCATACTCAAAGTGTGTAGGACCAGGCCAAAAGATTGGTCCAATTCTGGTCTGGGAAGATGGCTTGATGGGAGCCAGTTTGAGTTCTGCCTGGAGCCCTCATTTGTTCCTTGGAGTCTAGAGATAGGAAGTAATTTTCCTGTCTGTTTTCATTGGACGTGGCTTATGGGGTAATTTTCTCTCCTTTCACTCAGGTGGAGTCTTTTCCTTTCTAGCTCAGAAGGAGCAGGGTCAAACAGCAATACAGAAAAGAGTCAGGTCACAGGCAATTAAAAATAGGGATGTGCATAAAGAGAGAGGAAGATGGAATCACACTGTTTGACTCCTTGCTCAGCATTGATGGGGATCTTGATGTGGGGTTTTGTTTTGTTTTTTAATTTTACACTCAGAAAGAAAAATTCAAGTCTGTATACTAACTGCGTCTTTAGTGTCCCCTGAGTTTCTTTTGTGCCTTGGCTCCCCATCCCCCAAGTCCAGGCCAAACTTCTGAGAGTCCTCCTTTTGACAGGAGAAGGCAGAATCTGTGAACTCATTTACTGTGTTTTCCTTATTCATCTTCTTTAAAAATAAGGACATTATTGATGTGAAATTTAATGTAAAATGAACCTCTCTTGCTGGGCATGGTCGTGCACAACTATAATCCTAGCGGCTTGGGAAGCTGAGGCAAGAGAATCACGAGTTAAAAGCCAGCTTCAGCAACTTTTCGAGGCCCTAAGCAACTCGGCAATACCCTGTCTATAAATAAAATTTTAAAAGGGCTGAGGATGTGCTCAGTGGTTAAGTGCCCCAGGGTTCAATCCCTGGTACCAAAAAAAAAAAAAAAAAAAAAAAACCTCACTTAAGTGAAGAATTCAGTGGCATTTAGTAATCATAAGTGTTGTGCAACCACCTCTTCTATCTAGTTCCAAAACATTTTCATCACCCCAAAAAGAAACCTGGAGCCCTCTCAGCAGTCACTGCCCATTTCCCCTTTCACTCTCCCCCTAGCAACCTCCAGTCTGTCTTCTGTCTCTGCAGATTTCCCCTAAGCATTTCATGTGCTTTTTTTTTTTTCCAAGACAATGTATTTAACTTTACAACAGATGGAAAACTCCCTGATTGGTTTCAGTTGTGACGCACAGATGGTTTTTAGATTGCCTTTTGGTGGACACCCATGCTGAGCAAGATTTTTCAATCTTCAAAACACTCAAGACTCAACAGAGGTTCTGCATTTCATATTGGTTTATAGTTCCAAGTGTCTTCCATTTTGGCACAGATTTCCTTTGAGGTACAGGGACACAGACAAAGCCATCTCTTTTAAAAATGAGTTTGTTCGCCTTAATTTCTTTATGTGACAAAAGCAGATGATGATAGCATAGTCTTTAATTCTTATTTAGTCAGTAGCAGTAGTGGTGCCAGAAATTAATAACATCCCTTGTGTGTGGCTTCTTTTACTTTGGCATCATGTTTTTTAGATTCATCACATTATAGTGTGTCCTTTTTATGACTTTCATCATCTTAGACTCACAGCATCCAACACAGTGCTAGAACAAATGAAATGATAATAAATGTTGAAGTGAAAATGTGCACTGAGAGAATTCCCATCCTTGAGAGACTAGGATAGTTTATACACAGGTAAGTTCTTCTTTTAGATCAAACAGGACTTTGTGAGTCCTTCAGGTCCTATAAGTAGAAGTATGAGACTCTCCTCTTAAAGAACAGTATTTAAAAGCATATAAAAAAGTTCAAGTCGGGCCAGGTATGGTGGTGCAAACCTGTAATTCCTGTAATTAAGTCTCGGGAGGCTGAAACAGGAGGTCTGGGTTCAAAGCCAGCCTCAGCAACTGTGAGACACTAAGCAACTCAGTGAGATCCTGTCTCATTGGGGATGTGGCTCAGTGGTTGAGAGTCCCTGAATGTTCAATCTCAAGTAACTCCCTCCAAAAAAAAAAAAAAAAAAATACAAGCGGGATGTGGTGGCACACACCTATGATCCCAGAGACTCTGTGGGAGGATCGCAAGTTTGAGGCCAGCTTCAGCAACTTAGTGAGACTCTGTCTCAAAATAAAAAAAATAAAATGTGCTGTGGGTGTCAGTAACTCAGTGGTAGAGTGTCCCTGGATTCAGTCCCCAGTACCTAATAATAATAATGATGATGATTATAATAATGATGCAAGCAACTCATGTGGGCTGAGGGTATAACTCAGTGGTAGAGCACTTGCCATATTAGAGGCCCTGGGATCCCCAGTATTGCAATCAAGTAAAATACAAGGTAAAGCAAAACAAAATAAAAACAACCCTACAAATGGGTAATGGTACCAATTGAAAAAAGGAAAGACCTTTAGTACTGTCCCCAAACATGCGGGTAGTCACATCACAGTTCTCTATTCTTGAAATTAGAATCAACATCTTCCCCATCACCAAAGGAGCCTGCTTAGGTCCCTCATCTTGCACTCCCCGAACACCCATTGTGTATCAGGAACTGTGTCCCTAAGAAATGAAGCTATGATGCTGTGTCTCTAAGAGACACCACCCCTCCCACTATGGAGCTTAGGTGCTGGGGAGGATGGGTCGCAGTCTGCCTTCCCAATCAGGTACTTAATTGAACTGCAGTAAGCACTCTGCTGCAGAAGAGTGCCCGTGCCGGGTTAACCTGGGGAGCACATGGTTGGGGGAAAGTTTAAAGCAAGTGGCTCTGGAGTCGGTCATCTGAAGGAATCAACCAGACACAGAGGTAAGGAGAGTGGCCCAGGGAAAGAAGACCATCTTCACCTGCTGCAGAGGGCCTAAGGAGCTGGAGAAACTGAAGTCCACCTGGCTGGTGGGCAAGCAGGAGAACAAATGGACTCAAAGGGGCTAGGAGCTCAGTGGGGCCAGGTCTATGCAGTCATACCAGTCATGGTCACTCAACATCAGTCATGTCCCCAACAGCTGTCTGGAGGCATCCCAAGTAATCACACAAAACACTCGAAAAATCTATAGTGGAATGAATAGGGAACCAAGAGAAGTGTTTGTTTTCAATTTCAGAACTTGTTTATTCACTTGGGACAGGATTTTGCAGGAAAAGTGGATGAAGCAATAATGGAGCAGGGGTACAGGGCTGGTAGGCGAAAAGTGTTCAAAGTTAATATTACCATAATTTCAGAACCCCATGTTGGATACCTTGCAAAGCATCATCTTCTGAGATTTTTACTGGGAGAGGTGCAGAGAGTGACAGTTCAAGAGTAACATTGTCTGTTTTTCCCATGTTCTGGAGCCATAACATTACAACAAGAATGGGCAAAGAGTCACAGATTGTATTTAAGCTTAGATTTCAAAACCACCCATGACTATTTTGGCAGTATATATTATTTTTAAATTTTTTTTATTTCCTTCCTTCCTTCCTTCCTTCCTTCCTTCCTTCCTTCCTTCCTTCCTTCCTTCCTTTCTTTCTTTTCTTTGTTGTTGTTGTTTTCAAGCAATCCAAAAGCAGATGATTGTTTTTATTCAGCCTGGAGGGAATTTTAATCATTGAATCCTTCCTATATGGAAATACCATGCTGGGTAATGAATTGGGATTTCAGGGAGTAATTTTTTGTTTGTTTGTTTAAGAAACCTGCCACTAACAGTGGTGCATGCCTGTAATCCCTGCAGTTTGGGAGGCTGAAGCAGGACGATCACAAGTTTGAAGCCAGCCTCAGTAACTTAGTGAGACCCTAAGCAACTTATTAAGACCCTATCTCAAAAAATAAAATAAAAAGGGTTGGGGATGTTGCTCAGTGGTTAAGCACTCCTGGGTTTAATCCCCAGTACCAACAGTTTTTTTATTCATGTAGATGAGGAGAATGTTTTCTCTGGGCCTCAAGTATTTGCCAGCCCTGAAAGGCAGGGCATATAAGTCATCTGGACACAGCCTAGTGAGGAACAAAGAGTTTGAAACACAAAAGTGAATAAAACTATTGACTGTCCCTTGCCCTCCCCCCCTACCTCAGGGTGTGAACTTAGATGTTTCCACATGATTTTCTTTCTCTATTGGTCACAGCTTTTCCTCTTCTGCCCTCCTCCTCTAGGTTTTGAGGTTCCTGCAAACTATTTGGAAACTGACAGAGATTTCCAGCTAGAGATGGTGGTGATGAATAGCTTGAGGGTCATTCTTCAAGCCTCTCCATGCAAATCACCGTGGAGAAGTTTCCAGGTTCTGCGGTCCACGCCAGTGAGGCCCTGCAGTCTCTACACCTGCACTTATAAAAGCCGGAACCGAGCCTGTGAGTACATTTTCCTAAAGAGAACAAAATCGCTTGTTTGGTTTTTATAACGATCATTTGTGTTAAGCATTTGTCGATACGGCGTCATTGGCAGTCTGGTGTGATTATATGTTGTAATTTTGAGACAAGGTCTTGCCAGGTTGCTTAGGGCCTTGCTAAATTGCTGAGGCTGGAGTTGAACTTGTGATCCTCCTGCCTCAGCCTCCCAAGTTGCTGGGATTACAGATATACTACTATGCTAACTTTTCTATTGATCCTCTAAAGTAAATGTGGAAAGTTCTTTCTTGGTCAGGTTTAGTATACTAAAATGGTGCAGAAATTGGACAAATAAGACGTCCAGTTTCAAATATCTTGGAATCTGATTATCTTGGGAAGCTGAGGCAAGACGATCACAAGTTCAAGGCCAGCCTCAGCAACTTAATGAAACCCTAAGCAACTTTTTTTTTCAATGGTACTGACAATTGAATTCAGGGGTGCTCTACCACAAGCTACATCCCTAACTATTTTTATTTCAAAACAGAGTCTTGCTAAGTTACTAGGCTGGCCTCCAATTTGTGATCTTTCTGCCTCTGCCTCCCAAGTCACTGGGCTTAAAGCTGTGGACCACCAGGCCTCAGAACCAGCTGTTTTTATTGTTTCTTGTTAGTAATGATCTTTTTACTAAGGGCAATCCACAGAGTACAAATTATTTCAGTAAATCTTAAGTTTCTGGAAGTTGCTTTAATTTTTGCAAGCAAGTCAGTGGCTTCACACTAAGGGATATTCTAACCGGAATTACAAATCCTGGAGTTAATTCTAGCTGACTAACTTGATAGTATGTATTCTGCTGTAAACACAGAAAATCAAGTGAGCCAGAAGGTGGTCTCTCAAACCTCTGATTCTTGCCCTGGGAATACAAATTAATGTCCACATCAGGATGTTGTAGGGATTCTCAACCATGACCTTGACATGGTAGGTGGGTCATTGTTGTTGGGAACTCTCCTGAGAATGGCAGGGTGTTGAGCAGCATCCCTGGCCTCTTACCCACTAGATGCCAGTACGACTCCCACCCAGTTATAAGAACCACAAATTTCTGCAGGGAACTGAGGATGTAGCTCAGTGATAGAGCGCTTGCCAAGTATGTTTGAGGCCCTGAGTTCAATCCCTGCCACCAGAAAAAAAAAGTCAGCAGACATTGTCAAACAAGCTCTTGGGGACAAAATTGCCCCCACCATTAAGAACAGTCAAGGTGCTGGGAGAGGATGTGGGTATTTGTGGAAAGATGAGTTTGAGTTTATGGAGAGATGAAGTGGCTAAGCATAGCATTCAAGAGAAATTTTTCATGTTTTCCATTATTAAAAGAAATTGACACAAAATTTTCAAATGTGGGCTTGCATCCAGGTTGGTCTGGATTTCTGTTTGTTGTTGTTGTTGATCCTCTTTGACCCCAAATATATACAATACAAAGAATGGGTAAAAATTGAATGCTTATAAATTAGTAATGCTAATCTAGCTAAATTCAAAGGCTTGAAACTATTTCATAAATATAATTTTATTGTATGTTTATTTTCTTTCCTTCCTCATTGACTGTATTCTTATTAAATTAAACTGGCCTGAGTCATAATAAATTTCTGGTTGTTAGGTGTGGCTTCCTACCAGCATGCCCACATCCTACTCAGACTGGCGCTCTATGACCTAAGGCTTAAAATGGAAAAAATTAGTCATATTTAGTGAGTTACCAAAGATTTCCTTTTTTTTTTTTTTTTTACAGAAAGATGAAAGTTAAACATCTAAAGTTCTGCATGCTTTTGTCTTTAGGACAGTTGAGGTACTTCTTTTATTTCTGACAAAAAAAAAACTGCAGTGGTTTGGGGAGGTGGGGTTTCACTAGATTAATTTACCACATCATATGACACATTCTTGTTTCCAAGTTGGTAGGACAAATGACATGGTCACCATTTATTTGGCTTTTGGTATACTGCACTGTCCTGACTTGCTTTCACTCAGGAGAACATTATCGTCTTTGCTTTCTCACTGACCATTTCCTCTTCTGTTATCCTGACCCCTTGCCTACTTACCTGTGTAGACAGCACTCATTGTTTTTGGAAGGCCGAGAATACACTGGACCAAGAACCACCTAAGATTGTTAAGGGTTAGAAACTCAGTGTTAGGACTTGCTTAGTATGGGTGAGGCCCTGATTTCAATTTCTAGCACCAAACAACAACAACAAAAACTACCACCCCCCCAAAAAAAAAAAAAACCCTTTAGTATTACTAAATTCTACAAGTACTACTACTATGGTTACTAATTCGACTAGTACTGCAATTGTTATCATTAACTGTATTATCATTATCTTTATTTTCATCATAGGCTCAGTGCCTGCCTCAGGTGTTTAAATCTGACCATTTTAAGATGAAACGAAGCAGAGTAAGGAATAAATCAAGTGGGAGGTTGTGACAAATTCAGAAAACAACATTGTAGGTCAGCCTTGAGATCTGTGCCTTTACCTTAGCTCCCTGACCTCCTACCAAGTAATCACTGGCTGTCAACTCAAATTGCTGTTTGCTGTTATCTCAAGAAGCAGGCAGCCTTGTTGGGGACTTACGGACTGTACACCTGTTACCCATGATGGAAATCAAATCAGTTTCACCTAGGGTATCATCTAATGACATTTAGCCTAATCATTACATTAAAAAATTTAGGCACAAGATCTTGGACCATAGAAAAATGAATTTGATAATTTAGTACATCTTAATAATTATATATATCAAGAATACAGTCTAGGATGGAAATGGTATATATTTGTTATTATTACAATGATTTTTTTTTTTTTTTTTTGCCGGAGGACTGGGGATTAAACCCAGGGCATTTACCACTGAGCTACATCCCTAGCTATATCCCCAGCCTCCCCCACCTTTTTTTTTTTTTTTTTTTTTTTTGGTACCGGGAATTAAACTCAGGGGCACTCGACCACTGAGCCACATCCCTAGCCCTACTTTGTATTTTATTTAGAGACAGGGTCTCACTGAGTTATTTAGCACCTCACTTTTGCTGAGGCTGGCTTTGAATTCGCGATCCTCATGCCTCAGCCTCCTGAGCCTCTGGCATTACAAGTGTGCACCACTGACCCCGGCTTATTTTTAATTCTAAGACAGGGTCTTGCTAATTTGCTGAGGCTGACCTTGAACTTGCCATCCCACTGCCTCAGTCTCCCGAGTTGATAGAATCGTGGGAATGTACCACTGTGCCTGGCTTCCAGTGATTCTTTTTTTTAAAAAATATTTATTTTTTAGTTGTAGTTGAACAAAATACCTTATTTTTATGTGGTGCTGAGGATCAAACCCAGAGTCTTGCACTCTATCGCTGAGCCACAACCCCAGCACCCCCAGTGATTCCTAATGTTCAAGGTCTCCCTACTTTTAGAATGATGACAAACATTTTAGGATAACTTGAACTAGAACTGCAGTGTACAAAATGTAGCCAATAGCCCCATGTGAATATTTATATGTAAATTTAATTTCATTCATATATTATAGCCACATACACTTTGTTTCCACCACACTGGATATTCCCATCATCAAAGTTCTGACAGCACTGATCTATATTATAACTGAACGGTTACAATGTTGTTCTATTATTTCTCTATTTAATTTTGAAAAATACAAATAAAGCCTGGAAAACAATATTAAAAAGCCTGTCAGTGTTTTCTCAAGGAACTCTGATAATCCCTAGATAACTTACATCCAGGATGTCCCAGACTGTTGTATTAATATTCAAATACCTTGAGAAACAATGGGCCCATTAAGATCACCTTAAAATTGCATAGTGGCCTCAGAGTTACCTTAGGCTCTCTAAGACCAACAAATAACCCTGGAACTGACCACAGGAAGTTTGGGCTTTATTTTCCTGTGCTGGTCATGACATGGGTATCTTGTGGTTAATGGACTCAGCATCAAAGTGCCTTTTGCAGCCACATGCTGCAACATGGCAATTTATGATTCTCTCATTGTCCTCAACAAAATCATGTGCAGGATCCCTGCCTGCAACTGCACTAAGGCCAAAGATGGTCTTCAATTACATGAGAAAACAGCACACTCCAAGGGGGAAGAAAAGAGTCCAGTGGCAAGGCACAGGCTAAAAAGCCACTGAGGGTATAGAACGATGCTGTCCAGTAAATAAATAATGTAAGCCACAAATATGACCCATATAGGTAATTCTATATTTTCTAATAATCACATTACTAAGGTGGATACACAGATAAGATTAATTTTACTGTTGAATTTTATTTAACCCAATAAATCCAAAATATTATCATTTTAACATGAAGTGATGATAAGAATTATAAATGAATTTTTAAGTCTTTATTTTATGCTATGTTTTCAAAGTCCCTAGTGTCATTCATTATAGCACATCTCAATTTAGACACATGGCAAGTGGCCACCATATTGATAAACTCAGGTATAGAGAGTGGGGAAGTCCTAAATTTTGATGTTCTAAATTTAATTACAGAGGGCCTGGGGGTGGAAGGGAAAAGAGATAGAGAAGGTCAAATGCTTCTCTTGTGGGCTGTCTTCCTATCCCAAAGCTTCCCCTATCACAGGAGAGTGGAGAGCTGAAGTTCTAAACCTCGGTTCTTGTGTCTTGATGAAAGAAAATTTAAAGTCAGACATGAAAAGCCAAGTAAGATAATTTTTTTTTTTTTGGTATTGGGTATTGAACTCAGGGGCACTCAACCACTGAGCCACATCCCCAGCCCTATTTTGTATTTTATTACAGACAGGATCTCAATGAGTTGCTTAGGGCCTCCCTGTTGCTGAGGCTGGCTTTGAACCCGAGATCCTCTGCCTCAGCCTCCCCAGCTGCTGGGATTCCAGGTGTGTGGCACTGCACCTGGCTAAGACAATTTTATTAAGTGAAAGTAAAGTAAGGCTAAAGGAGAGAGAGAGAGAGAGAGAGAGAGAGAGAGAGAGAGACCTTCTGAAACACATTGAGAAACCTGTGGCCATAAATCCTAACTTTA